TTGAATATTTACAGCAATACAATTTGTTTCGATTGGAGGCACTGAGAAGTCTTAGAGTTTTAAAGATTACCAGGAGATTTGTGAAAGATAGCTAAGAACAAGAAGTTCTTTGTCAGAAGGACTAAAATCATTGTCCAACGAGAGGTATGTATAACCACTGGAGCATACAAACACAGGGGAGAAAAAGAAAATTATAGACATTACTGCACAGGTAAGCAAGCTCCCTGCAAGATTAGGTGTAAGTATAAAAGTGAGTGGATAGCCTGGAAAAACACAGAAGATAATACAAAGCCAGTGCAGTAATCCTTAAACATGTGGAAGAGGGAGGTCAGCAGCAGCTCCACCTGCAGGGGCAGAAACCCCAAACTAATCACAGTGGCTGACTGCAGACACACAGCACCACGCAAAGCTTTACACCCCTCCGTGAGGACTGGCTAGAGCACAGTAACAAAAAGATTTCAAACACTAGTTTTAGGGAAAGAAAAGTTTAGATAGACAAAAAAAAACCCCAACCAACTAAACAGTTCTTCCACATCACTCAGTAGACCTTGTAATGAATTTCTCAGAGGCAGAGTCTTTTGCAAAAAGTAAATCCCAGGAACTAGGCCTATGCAGCTGACTAGTTCAGGAAACAAAGCAAGCCCTCTACTTAGGGGATGATCCCAAAAGGGGAAAGAGAGAGAAGATGGCTCCACCACTGAGAGCCTGAAGTCACAGTCCATCAAACCACAAATTCACTTCAACATAAATCTTTAACTAGCAGAGAAGGTGGGAGCCTTCTAAGGCCATCACAGGCAGAAGCAAAAAAATTCCTTGATGGGTTTATGGAAGGCTTCAGGCAGGGTATTGCACAATGAAGACTCGGAAGAAGAGTAATCCCACCTTAGCCTTAAGTGAACAATTATCACACAGGCATTATATAAACAGATCTCCTCATCCAGATGTAGCTTCCTCACAAACATAACACACAAGTGCTGAGAAGGAACAAAGGGAGAACAAAAATTCTCAAGCAGAAACTCAGGGAATGCACAGGCAGGAACAACCATTAAAGTCATCAAACATCAATTCCTTTATTATTTACCAATTAAATTTCACTCAATTTCATCAGTACCTTGTACTTCACATTCACAGCAGGTTAACTACACAAACGGTTTAAGATGGATGTTTTCAGCTTCTTGAATTGTTAGTAGAGATTTCCCTAGTAAATTTAAAGATTTCTTAAGTGTCCAAGGTTTTTGCCCCTGAACTCTGTAGAAGTACTTGAACATCATAAATTACTTTGCAAATACTAAACTGATAACACTTGTAAAGTTTGCTACAAAAAAGAGGATGTGTATCTACAAAGCAGCCTAACTTGACGATACACAAGGAGCAAAGAAGCTGCACACAAACCACCAACCACACACTAATACCTTACTCCAAACTTATTTTCTGCTGAAAGGAACAAGAATTACAAGACTGAAAAACAGCGAGAGGCTAAACAGCTTGTCCAGTGGGTTCCTTACCACCTTCAGATACATGCATCTTCCTCGATCAAAATTACCTCATTGTCTTTTATGTATTTCTTGGACACAGATAGCAAGGGGGTGGGGGAAAAATCCACCACACACCCGTTTCATCACTGAGACTTTCACAAAAGTTTTGATTTATCAGTCTCTATGCATTTGAAGTCCATAGCTGAGCTAACATACGTACTACAGTTGACTGCTTCAAGGGAAATCCTGTCTCAGAAGGCTGAGGTTTCAGTGCTAGCAACCCTCCTAACACAGGAATAAAGAGCAGGGTAAGAACAGGCTTCCCATCTGTCACATGCATTAAAACACGGGTGATAAATGTGGCAGACAACCCACTTTTTTTTCAGCTGTCACTTCAAAGTCCTCAGATAATCCTCAAGTGCACAGACAAGCAGACCACAGGTTGCACACAAAAACTTACTGTGATTTTGGCCAAAATTTCTACTTTCATTAGCCAAACATAGAAAGGGTTATAGTTACATTATCAGAATCCCAACACACATAAACAGGTTCAACATTAAAAAAAAATAAACCAAACAGTTCTCTTGCATGTTTTTACACATACTGCTTGTAAATAAAATTATTATTCCTGTCAGGAGATACAGAGACGTATCAACACTATGACTTCAAAAAAAAGTTAGATCCTAAGTTGCTAGAAGTGAGCCATTTCACCTCAATCGTCATACTTCAGTTGTTACTCAGAGGTTTCCATTTCCATTCTCATGCTCTGCTTAACTTTAAAAAGTATCAAAGACCTAGATAACACTAAGAAACAAGCTTAGACTTAGTTTAGATTAGATTCCAAATCCAAGAAAAAAGTCATGAAGAAAACAGGACTAGACATTATAGAAATAATGTCCTTGAAAAGGTATCCACTAAAGCAATATAATCTAGTTTCCAATTCTTTTAAAATTTGTTTTTGGAAATAGAACTAGTAACTAGCACAATAATTTGAGAATTCTGGTAACAAATCTTTGAAATACTCTTAAAAGAGAACATACACCAATTATATCAGCAAAAAGTTTCCAAAGAATGTTAAAGGCAAGTAAAAGCTTTAAAAAAAGAGCTGGAAGAGCACCTTAGAATTGTAGTGTGATGTAAAATACAGTTAAAACACTTGCTAAAAGAAACACGTGGTTACAGAAGAACACAAGAGGCATTAAACAGTTCAGAAACTACTGCTGACTTGGTGGAGATAGGAGAAGAGTAGAAATTTGCCACATCCTGATAAAATCTTACAACAGGAATTCCTGATACAGAAATACTATGGATTCTGGGGAAAAAAAAATACTGCCTTGCAAAAGACTTAAAAATGCAATGCAAAAGGAAATATTTTAAAAAACAAAACACAGCAATCAACAGCTGTTGATCATAGAATTATTCAGGTTGAAAAAGACCCTTAACATCTTAGGGTTACACGGAGTGTTTTCCGTGAAGGAGTCCCTACTCAACAGTTCAGTGAACACAAAGATTCCCATTTCCTACCAACCTTACCAAGGCTCTCAGATGAATCACAGAATCACAAAGTGGCTTGGGCTGGATGGGGCCTTCAAAGACCATCTAGTCCACCTCCCCTGACATGGGCAGGGACATCTTTCACTTGATCAGGTTGCTCAAAGGCCCATTCAGTCTGGTCTTGAACAGTTCCAGGGATGGGATTCACAACTCCTCTTGGCAACCTGGTCCTGTGCCTCACAATCCCGACTGTAAAAACTTTCTTCTCTGTGTCCAATCTAAACATACCCTATAATTGTTTAAAGCCATTACCCCTTGTTTTGTCACTTTAGGCCTTGCTAAAACATGGCTTTCTTATAAGCCCTCTCTAAGGACCGAAAGGCCACAGTGAGATCTCTGAGCAGAGCCTTCTCCAGGCTCAATAACCCCAACTCTCTCAGACCTGCTTTGTAGGAGAGGTGCTCCATTCCTCTCACCATTTCCATGGACCTGCTCTAATACCTCCACATCCTTTCAGAACTGGGGGCCCCAGAGCTGAATACAGTACTGCAGATGGGATCTCACAAAAGCAGAGCAGTGAGGGGAGAATCACTGCTCTCTACCTGCTGTCCATGCTTCTTTTTAAGGAGCTCAGAATATGCTGACTTTCTGGGATGCACATTACTGCCTCATGTCCAATTTTTCATCCGCTCCCGTCTTTCCCTGCAGGACTGACCTCAATCCACCCACCCTCCACTGTCTACAGATAGTGGGGATTGCCCTGACCCAGGTGCAGAACCTAAAGGTTCACATGGGTGTGCTCCTCACGCCTGTCATGGTCTCTCTGCATGGTACTCCCTTCCCTCAGCACATCACCTGCACTGCTCAGCTTGGTGTTATCTGCAAACCTTCCAAAGGCACTCTCAAGCCCACTGTCTATGTTATTAATAAAGATATTGATCATCATCAATCCCAATGCAGACCTCTGAGGGACACCACTTGCTACTGATCTTCATTTTGACATTGAGACAGTGACTACAACTCTTTGGATGTGGCCATGCTGCCAGTTTCAGTTTCTCATTCACCAAACAGTCCATCCATTAAACTGTTAGCTCTCCAACTGAGAGACAAGGATGGGGTGTGAGACCATGACATGCTGTCTGCAACAGATGGAAAGTCTGAGAAACAGACTATATATATATATATATATCTGCACCTTGTTACACACTTTCTAGATTCCTAAAATAGCAATAATCCACTAGCCATGTTCTAGAAATGTTTTACAACAGGTAATGCTCAAAAGTCTTAGTTACTATCCTGGAAATATCTAAAGGGACTTGTCAGAATAAAGGGGCATGGAGAGAGAAAAGAATAAGGGACTTGACAGCCATTACTAATAATGGAGAAAGTCACCTCTCACACAAGAAAAAAGATGCAATAAAAGCCTCTGCATGAGTTTCTCCAGCGAGCCATGCTGATAAACAGAGCAACTTAAAAAGGAGACTCAGCAGATGCACGCCTTCGCTTCCACCCCTCCGACTGCTTACTAAAAACAGTCTTCGTCTTGACTGCAAGGGAGAAACTTACGCAAACAGACAAGAGATTCATTCCCCTGCTGCAGATTCACAGCAGCATCAAGACACCGAGGACCTGTAGCGGACCCGGCGCACGTCAATGGCTCCACTCGAGCAGGCACCGGCGGGAGACGGAGGCTCCTCAGCCCGTACACGGAGCCCCCTTTCGCCCAAACACCCCGGCACCGGTGCCCCGCTCCCCGAAGAGGAGAGCGCCTTCACCAGCCGGCCAAACGCTCCAGGGGAGCCGGAGGATGAGGGCACGGAGCCATCTCGGCCGCCTCCCGCCGCAGGGCTCCGGCTCGCAGGGCCGCTGCCGTGCCCAGCCGCCCCTCGGCACTGCCCGGGCTGTCACCCCCGGGTCGGGAGGCCGCCGACGCTCCCTGCCGAGGGGCCCGGCGCCTCTGCAGCCCTGCCGGGGCAGCCCCCGCGGGCTCCAAACGCTGCCGCGGGGGGAATGGCGGGGGAACGCCGTTACCTTCGCTCTTGCCCAGGATGCGGCAGCAGAGGCTCTGCAGCAGAACGTTGGGGGATTTTTGGTCCGGAGTCGCCATCGCCGCGCGGGAGGCAGGAGGTGGCGCGGGGGCCGGGAGCGGGCGGCAGAGCCGGAGCACGGCGGGGTGGCGGAGGGAAGGAGAGGGGCGAGGACGCGCCGCCCGGTCGGCAGCGCAGGGAGCCGGCGGCACCTCCCGCTCCCGCCTACGGCGCCATTTTCACGGGACCCGCCGAAAGCCGCAGCCGCGGCCGCGCACCCACAATGCCCCGCGCGGCGGTTCCGGGGCAGGCGCCGCCCCGCGCGCGGGCAGACCCGGGGCGGGAGCGCCCCGCCATCGCCGGGGGCGAGCGGGACCGGCGAGCGGGACCAGACCCGCCGTCCCCAGGCGGAGAGCCGGACCTGCCCGGCCCGCTGCGCTTCCCCGCCGGGAAACGCCTCACACTCAGTCCCAGAGACTCGTTCCATCGACGCTCACATTCACTGCAACACAGCTCTTGTACCCAGTGCAGGAGGCGGAGGCCTCCTCAGGCCATCTCGGGCAGGAGCGGAAAAGGCCTTGATGGAGTGCTAGCAGAGGGCTTCAGACGTGGGGCTGCAGAATGTAGACACGGATGCCGAGTAATCCTCTTGCCAAAATTGGTTCTTTCATCCGCTGTGCTAGAGGCCAATACACACACAGAATCGAGGTATTTGATTTATTTACAGTTCTGCACTGAAAGGGGTGCTGGGTGGCAGATTCACAAAGTCAGCATCCCGACTATCAAAAACTTTTTACTGTTTATACATTTGAGTAAACAAATTAGAATTTATTGGCTACAAGTTGCGTAGTTCTCTTCTTAATTAGTATTCTATCTTCTATTAATGTTTCCATTTCTTCTCATCGTTATTAGTCCACATTCTCAGTCTTTCTGTTCGAGTCAATGGTTGTGAGTCGGCTCACAATCTTTGTCCTGCCAGAATTATGTTTTACCCAGTTGGAGCTGATTTCAGCACAGTTGCTGAGTTGGCTTTATTATTTACTTCTTGATCTTGAAAGTTCTGCTAGATGTCCTTTTGACATCTAAATTCTGCATTCTTTGTGTCCACCATCCGTGGTATATCCTTCTTCCCAAGTTTTGTTAACCTCCCCCAGGTCTGAGGTCATTGAAACATATAGAGCCCTAAAGCTTAACAAAGCAATTCTTCCAACAACTCATTTGTCTTTCTAACACCTGGACATCACTTACAGCTTCTTAGTTGCTCACTGTTTCACAGATTAAATCTCCTTTTCTTGTTGTTTAGGCTTGAAAGTATACAAAGATCAAACATCAGAGAACACACTTTCTTCAGAAATATTTACGTATTCCACATTTTGCAACAATCCCACAACAGCCATAAGTGCTACGTACAGGCATCCTCACAAACAAGTGCTGAAAAGGAACACAGCCAGGGAGAAGAAAAATTCTGAAGTACAAACTGAGGGAATGTACAGGCAGGAACAACCATCAGATTGTCGAAACTTTTTTGTTATTTCTCCATTAAATTTTGCCCAATTACATCACAACCTTATATTTTACATTCAAAGCAGGCTAAATACACAGATGGTTCAAGATGAAGATTTTCACCTTCTTGTTAGAAATTTTTACTAGAAATTTCCTGACTAAATTTGAAGATCTCACAGGTATCTAAGGTTTTTGCCCCCAAACTCCATAGAAGTAATTGAACATGGTGAATTACTTAAGGGCAGGTCAGGTTCACTTACTCCCCCTGGAGAAGAACAGGCCGGGGGGTGGCTGCACTTCTGTGATTTGCTGCCTTAGGGATCAAGGCTCATTAGGGACTTTTTCACACAAAGTAATTATGAGTCAGGGCAGGTCTGGAAAAATGTGTGAGGATGCTGCACCCAGGTGTCCATGTCCTGCTGTGCCATGCAGCTGGGTGTCCTCAGTCCCTGCGGGGGGCCGGGGCTCTGGCTGCTGGGCAGCGTGGGGACCAGGGACCGCATGCTCAGGGCTGGTCTGCACTGCTCCCTGGGACTCGCTGCTCCTCAGGCTTGTCACCCCTAGCACAGACTCTGACATTTCCAGCTGTCCGAGTTCCATCTCTTCAGTGAATTCATGCTGTGTCCAGCCCAAAATACATACTTAGGAAGTAGTTATTACCCTTGTGCTGCTGGAGTCCTACTTAATCTGTGATTGGAGATGCTGCAGCAGCAGCCAGGTGGGCTTGGTGCACTGCTGGCTGTGAACAAATCCATTCCTGCTGTGCAACACGTGGCTTTCTGACAGCCCCTGTTTGCTTCATTGTCTCCACAGCCACAATTTTGTGTGTATGCTTTCTACAGGCACGTACACATGGCCTTTCATTATGGCAACATTACGGATGTAAACATCAGTTCATTGCTAACATTACTGCTAGGAACAAATCACAGTGGCAAGCCAAGGACTGAAACACATTGAGGATCTATGGCACTTCGTTGCTTGGAATATTCTAGTAGAAACCTTTGTAGTCTCATCACTCACGCCATAACTTTTCAGTTCTTAGTGATACATTCTTTAGATTTTTTTGAGAAGTAAAATAGAACCCAAAACTAATAAAGTTACCACAGCTTTATCCCATGTAAATATGGGTTGTAAGCTTCATTTTCAATAATTCTGAAGTAAAGATTTCAAAGATGGTGTGAGCTTTATGTTTTTTGGACTGAGCAGCAGAAGAATCTCTGTTCCATTTTTCTGCCCAAAGCAAACACAGTTGTGCTACAAGGGGCTGGTGACTCACCCTTGCTGCTAGTCACTTCAGATTTAGATTCCACCGTGGAAGGTGTTAATCTAGCAAGCAGCAAATATGGTTCTCACATGAGGCAAAAAAATAACTTCGGCAATTATATCTGGAAGTGGTGTTCCTTTATAAAACCTTAACATTCCAAAGGAATCCAGTCACTCACAAATATCCTGTTACTGCTTTTAAGTGGATATTACTTTCTGGTCACACTAGTTCATTTTAACTAAGGCAATGTGTCACTGGTCTGAAATCAGAACACATTGGAGAGCAGCATGATGAGAACATGCCATTGAAATGGGTGCATTTGGGCCTCCTGCAAGCAGCAGTGCAAACACAAACCTAAGCTTTTCAACTTCAGCACAACCACATGCTGTGTTATGCTTCTGAAGTGGTGTGATAGTCAACCATTCTGTTACATTACTGACAATGTATTCTCTTATTTCTAGTCTCTTTTTCCTAAGGAAATGAGGCTTAATGCAGTTTTTCTGTATGTCAGTGCCTCCTCATAGTTCCTGGATCTCATCATCAATTTTAAACAAATTCACCTGAGGGATAGAGTTCTTAAGGATATTAGTAAAATGTCCTGGAATTCAGCAGCCGAGAGTACTAAGGCCTAAGTCAGTCCACCCTTGAAAAGAAAGGTAAGGGGAACTTACTTCTTTCTCCCTGCTGTGTTCGCCCTTAGCAAAGCAGCTGATTGGTGTCTACCCTGGACAGGTAGACACACATCCTAGCTCTGAGCCACCTACAGCACCAGCTCTGCTTGCCCAGCCTGATGGATGGATGATTGAAGAACTGAAGGCGGAAGGGACAGAGAACTCTGGAAATAATGTGGAAAGTAGTCAGAAAGAGACAAGAGGGGTGGAAAGTAGTCAGAAAGAGACAAGAGGGGTGGAAAATAGAGGGAAACTTAAGTTTCATTAGTGTCACTCCTCACAGACCTCCTCGCTTTTTTTGTAATGGAAAGAATGAATCCTAAAATTGTATTTAGAAATGCTAATTCTGATAAAGCATGTTGCTAGCACATGCAGCTTATTGTGGTTTTACCAACTCCAGTACAAGTATGATTGCTTAAGTCAGCTTAAAAAAATCTCATTATCAATGAGAAAGAAAAAATATAAACTATTTTCTTACTGTATAGCTATAAGCTTAGTCCACCTTGCTGCTTGGTCTCTCAGCATTGGACAATTAAAAAAAAAAGTTATTGCTGCTCAGATTTTTCAAAGTACAGAAGATTCATCAGTTAGCAGAGTTAAATGTGTGCTTTTTAAATTATGACAGTGTCTTACAAGAAAATCAGCTCGTCCTTAGAAGGTTAAAGGGACTTGTGTTTCAGATCTGCTACTTAAAGATCGTATTTCTGATAGTAAATAGCTTTATAACGAAAGAACATGCAATGAGATCCAGCAGGAGGTGGAAGCTGAAGCTTGCCAAAGTAAGGCTGGAAACAAATGACAGTTTTAATTCAATAAGGATATTCACTCACTGGAGATAAATGTTTAAAAGCATGGCACTTTATTCATATCTGAAACATTTTAAATCACCCTTCTGGTACAGGCCTAGTGACCAGATATGAACTGACATGGGAGCTACTGAGTTGCATTTCCATTCTGCACAGATCAGTTCACAGGGTATCATTGTCCCTTTTAATCCTAAATCATCTAAATCTAATCAATAGTACTAAGCAAAAAAGAAAAAAAAAATCTTATCCTTACAAAAAAAACCCTAAGGTTTAACTGTGCTGGTTTTGTGAACTCTTCTTTGGTTCTTCAGGGCACAATACTTTAGACAGCTCTAGCTGTTCATGGGGCACACCAGAAGGAGTAGGGAATCATGCTTTACGCCTCCAGCATTTTGCTGTGCTGGACAGACTTTTTTATGTGTCATGTAACCAGTGTTAAGAATTACAGTGGCTGGAAATAGGGATGGGTACTGTCTGTGCCTTAGTTAGCATATGGCAGCCCTGGAAGTACAGCAGCTGGGCCTCCTCTGGCTCCAGCACCATGTGGCTTCTGCCCCTAAGCATGTATTTTCCACATAGGCAATCTCATAATGGCCTAGAGCCCTGTTATGCTGAGTCTGCAGCATTAAAAGGGTATTAAACAGATACAGTTTTTGAAAGGCCATATGTTTTATGATGATGTTCTGTGACTGAAGGATGTCCCTGTGCACAAGTGGGGCTCAGATGAAGAGAGCGTTTAATCCAGTTTAACCCTCTTGCTCATGTTAGTTCTGCATTGCAGCCTATTTGTTGTGACTTTCACAATATTACTACCACCTCTCCATTTTCAAACTCTTCACTTCAGCTGTTCCCCTGTTGACCGAGGAGTCTGAAGTACATTCCATAATGCCATATACTGACAGAAAGTCTACTGAATTGGTGTTAGTCTATCAAAAAAGAAACTTGAGTTTCCCAATGCTTAAAAGAGGGGTCAGAAACTATGATTTAAGCCATATAAGAGCAAAACAAAGGACATTTTAATTTTTTTTCTTTGGGATT